CCACAGAATATTTTCCATCAAGTTATACCTAAAAATTGGACCATCTGAAAAAAAACAAAACAAAACAAAAAACAAGTCATCAGCATCACTTGGCAGTCCTGAACTGTAGGAAAAAAGTCGTCCCAGTACTTCCAGTGTGTCCTGAACATTCTTTGCTGGAGAACAAGCACGGACCTTTCAACGTTCCATTTCGTGAGGACAGGAAATCCCACATATTTTAAAAACAAATTAAAAACAGACTAGATTAATTTAAATTCGTAGTTTAAAGCAACTTTTATGCAAAGTTGCGAATGACTGAAAGATACTGAAATGAAACCTCTCTCTCGCCTCCTTGATGTCTTCAACAAATGCACTAGTTGCAGTGACTCAGCATGATGCAAGGTATTAAATGTGCCCAAAACTCTTCCAGACAGTTGGACTTCAACAGCACAAAATAACAGGAAGCCCAAGTTCTGCAGAACGTACTGGAATACATCAGCAGATGTATTTGGACATTGGCAAATGGAAGAGTTGTATAATATTAACGTATCAGCCACAGCAAACCAAACCAAACTCCTAGGAACTTCAAGGCTTGACAACGCAGGCTCTGCCTCACGCCCTTGGCATCCAGCATCCCTCCCACCAACTACTCCCAAACCCAACAAACAGCATGTTCGCAGAAACACCTCTTTTCCTTTTTGATACTTGAACAAAATAAGTACATACCGACAGTTAAACACTTGACCACATGTAAGCTTCAAAGAAGTGCTGCATCTTTTTAGATGCAATCACATCTCAAATAATTTGTAAAAAGTCAGAACAATCACAGTGACACATTAGCTGACATTTCTTAAAATCTGTGGTTTGTGTGCAACCAAGAGGTGGCTTTGTTCACCAAAAGGACATTCTCATGCACCAACAGGTGAATTTTCTGTCAAGCATAAGCTCAGCACTGGATTTAATAAGATTATAATGTTTTCTTTGAGATAAATGCATTCGGGATGTTTAGCCACTGGATATTTGATTCCAAAATTAGCAACTCACACAATCTCAACTTCAAACCCATACCACAAAATAGAGTAAAATAAATCTGCGCTGGTTAAACTCTCAGAAGAGACAAAGCCTCCTGCTGAGCCTGGTGGATTATCCAAACTACCAAACAAAAACAATTAGAAATAATTATTCTAGGCGACACAGAAGGAAGTTGGTGACTAGCTGAACCCCAAGTCTTACAGCATACTCTTAAAACTCAGAGCGTGCCTGCCTTTATAAACATCCAGGAACACAATCCCATTCTTTCTGTTCTAATGTTTTTAGGTTCTGCCTCCTCACAACACTGAGGACTTATTATGTTTCAAGAACATATTAATATTATCCCAATCGAAAATCGCTTCCATGTCACTGAAGTCCATTTACTCCTGCATTACACGAATGGATAAACAGAAGCAGAAACACTATGACTGATCCAACACTACTTCCTAACCGCTTTTTCATACACACACAACCTCCTCATAACATCCTTTTTAAACCTGAAATTTCTGGGGAAGGGAAATTTACTGTTCATCATCTGCTCTATGCTCTGTTCTTTCTCCTCATAATGGATTATCAAACGTGCACAATGCTTAATAGAGTTCAAGACATTTATGAGGATGCATAACACCACTTCCAGCCCTTCTATTCCACAGCTCTATTTACCTGAAGCTTTCACCAAGAGCTTTGTTTAAGCTTATCTTTGCTGCTTTCACAGAGTTTCTCTACCCTCTTCAAAATAATTCAAAAGCACCAATATTTCTGTGGGCCTCAAATTCTGCTGCTTGCATTTTCTATTGAGAAAACCCCACATTTTTACCTGGATATAAAATAGAGCAGTTTAATCTAATACTTGTTTAACAGACTCCAAAAGTTTTAACAGACTATGGATGTTTTAGAAGTTTTTTTCTTGCCCCCCCCCCCCTTTTTTTTTTTTTTTTTTTTAAACTTAAGAGCAGAAGAAAATGCCTTACTTTCTTATCAGTACCACTTAACTCTGAATTTACACTGGCTTTTTCTTTCCCATTATCCTATTATTTAAACAAGGACTTCTATTCTACTTCACCCCTCACTAAGAAGCTGGATAATTCTCTTCCAATCTTGTGCTCGGAAAAGAAGTACTCTGCCCTTTCTAGGAGAACTTCTCCAAAAGTAATGCTTCCTATTTTATTATGTTGGTTCTCAGCATTAGAAGCAGATGTTGGTGGTATGGCAGTAAAGGTTTGAACCTTCCCACCAATATTCCCTACGTGTTGTAGCTGTGCAACAGATGGCAGCAAAGGGGCAGTCTGACAAAGTGGCATCTGACATGGAAGTGTGCACAAAGCAAAGGTGTGTCAGTCTACTCTTACATGAGGAAAAAGAGCCACTCGCTGACGTTCAGTGCTTGCTGAATGTTTATGAAGGCCAAACAGTGGACGTGAGGTGGTGCATTTCACCAGCAGTGACAGCAGTTCACTTCCACTGGTGCAGATTTTGACAAGTGAGGCACGCAGGCTCTTGTTCATCACTGTCAAAAATTCTTAGCTAATGGTGGTGACTACACTGAAAAATAGTATTTTGGATCTGAGAATTTGCTTTATCAAATAATGTTACTGCACTCTACTGTAGTTTCTGTGAAGAGAAATAGGGAGGCATTACTTTTGGAGCAACCCACACAGCTTGTTTGCCTATTACATCATTCCAGAATCTCTTGTGTAGGGTTTAGACGCTTCAAAATCCCACAACACTTAACCAAGCATGTAATTCTTTCAATGTCTTTTACTTTTCTTAACTAGATCCTAGCCTACCAGACTCCCTCCAATCTCTTTGACCATCAGAAGTATTTAATGGATTTGATTAAATTTACCTACTTGTCACTGCTCTTTCATTTTCATTTGTGTTTCTAACTTAAATTAGAACCAATAACCACGATTCACATCACTTACTTTTAATTTTACCTGCCGCATTTCATGCTTTTTCACATAAATTTGATTTTCATTTTCTGGAGGGCGCTATTTTGGCTCCATTAACTTCATGCTTCTTGCCACAGAGTTATATCTTCCAACCTATCTTCTTGACAGTTGCCTTTAAAGGCATCATTTCCTTAATGCCATCGTGTTCTTAAGAACATGAGTTAAGCTCCCCTTTGCCCCACCAGAACTCATAAAACACTTCAAAAAGAATTCCACCGTTTCATGAAAAGACAGATATCAAAGCAAGCCTGCCAGATACAAGCAGTCTAAAAACAAAAATACCTTTCTGTTCATCTTACTCAGCTGGACAAAAAAAGGGGGAGAAAGCACTGTGCTGAAACACTGAATTCGTAATTAAGACTGTCAATCTGGTTAAATAAACATTTACAACTAAGAGCCTTTCAGAAACTGTCACACCATCAGAAACCTGTACTACTACTTGTTTCAAAAGTGCCTAAGGAAAGTGCTGCTGAAATGGACTACTGCTGCCTGTCCCTTCCCAAACTGTGAATTCCCCAGTAAGCAGCTTTGATCTCACTGCACACGACCACATGGGCAGGCCAAGTCTGACCACACCAACACAGAAGGCACAACATCAGAAAAAGACAGTGGATGGCACGCTGATGGCAAAAAGGAACATCCTGGTACAGAACTGCAACTAGGGATCAGACATGACAAAGGAACTGTTTAGAAGCCTGGGAGAGGGGGGGAAAGTTATAGCCCCAACAAATGTCATGTTCTCTTGAGCTGAAGAACCACTGGATCTTTAAGAAAAAAGAAACATGGGTCCCTATTCTGAGGAAAACCTTCCACATCATGGTATGTTGCCAACTCTCAAACTACTCCTAATTTTGTCTGTGCCTATGGGCATGTCTCCACGTAATTAAAAGTTGCACATGTCATTCAAGCTGAAGTAAACTTGTTTTGAACTAGCTAGTTCATATCAGTGCGAGCCATTAAGGTAGCGGGGAGAGCAACATAATAAAAACAAAGACAGACATAGCAAAGATTAGTTTGAGACTAACTATTAATTACTCAGTATAAACAAGATTGCTTCCATCTATGTAGCTTCTAGCTATAACATTGCAATCCCATCTCTGGATAGCCCACAGACATACCCAAACTTCTGAAGTTAGTTATTACTAGTAAGCAGTTAGGGTAGAATACACACCAGAGAGCAAAAGCTCCAGAGAAACAGAAGCTCCAGTAAAACAGAATAAAGCAACCGCTAAACACAACCATTTGGGAGTTCTGCAGAAGGAGCAGATCACTATTTTCACAGCTCATGATGTATCACTCAGCCTGAAGTTTCAGTTTTCATTAAACGCCCTCAAGAGGCAAAGCTTAAAACCATCCTCACATGTGTTTCAGTAGGAGGGAACAAACGCAAAGACTATGAATGGGGCGAGTTCCTGCCGGCTGTAAGACCGCCGGTTGCCTGACAATTACAAGTGCCCACAGCACGAGCCTTCGCCGCACGCAAGAAAGCAGAGATGGCACTGTAGCCGGAATAACTTCAGAAAGCGAGATAACGTTTGCAGCAAGAAGCAACAGCTCTTGCCAGACTAGCTAGAGATCGCTACCGTGAAGAACGGCGGGCTTAAAGACAAGCGAGAAAGTTTCCCTGCCGCTCAGACCGGGCCCCGCCTCCCCTCACAGCGCGGTCCCCACACCCACCACCATGCCGCTCAGTTCGCCTTCCCACAGCTGAGCGCGGCCGCTACGCACTCGGAGCCCAGCGCTCCGCCGGCCCCTGCGAGGCCACGCGGGAAGGCCGTCGCTCGCCCACTTCCCAGAAGACCGCCCCGGTGCCGCCCGGCGCCTCTGCCCGAGGCCGCAGCCACCGGCCCGACCCGCCCGCCAGAGCCGCCGCCCGTTGCCCGCCTCGTGCCGGCGGCTCCGGCCATACGCACGCCGCAGACCGGGCCGCGGCGCTCCCCTACGCGGCCCCGCTCGGCACCCGGCTGCTGCCGCCGCCCTCCTTCTGGCGGCTCGGCCGGGCGCGCCCTCCCGGCAGCAGCCCCTTTACCCCCGTACCTGCGGCCCCGGCCCAGCCCCGCGCTGTCTCCTCTAGGGCCCGAGGCGCGCGAGCGCCGCTCCCTGCCTCCCTGCCTGCCCAGCGCTGGCAGCTGATGGCACTGCGCCTGCGCCCGGCAGGATGCGTCACTTCCGGCTCGACCGCTGCGCCCTGTGGGACGGGGAACCCTTCCGGCCTGCCGAGACGCGCTCAACCGCGCGGCCGCAGCGCCCTCATTGGGAGGGACTCCCGCTCCCGGCATGGAGCACGCGCGAGATTCGGGCCCGCGCAGCCGCAGATGAGTGCGCGGCGCTCCGTTGGGGAGTGTGTCAGTGGGCCGCGTGGCATGCCGGGAGCTGTAGTGCAGCGAGTGCCGGTCTCGTGGCTGGCGCAAAAAGTCAACTGCGGTATATGCTGAGACAGATGCATTTATTTCGCTGCGTGATTTTGTATCGAGAGCACAGGCACAGCGGCAGGAAGAGGTGCCCTCCCAGCACCCTGCTGTGTCTTGGCCCATGGAACAGGCTGCCCAGGGCAGTGGGCACGGTCCCAAGCTGCTGGAGTTCGAAGCTTTCAGACATCAGGTTTGAATTAGTTCTAGTTAGTGCTGTGTGGAGCCAGAGGTTGGACTCCACGATCCTTGTGGGTTCCTTCCAACTTGGGATATTCTATGGTTTTATCATTCAATGGAAGCAAAGTCATTTGGGATTGCAAAGGACTTGCATAGGGATGCTTAGGGGAGAGTCCACAAGTGGGAAAGGGAGGGATTCCAGTTACCTGTGTGGGAACAAGCAAGAGAATGCTAAGAGAAAGGGCTGGCTGCACATAATAGCTTTTGTAAATAGCCTGCTCAGTGCCATCTGTCCTATGCTTTTATCGTAGCCCTTTGGGCTTTTCTCTGGGTGAGGGCTTCCTTCACTGTATGCTTAGGGCCCAGGTGCCAGCAGTCAGCAGGGCTGTGTAGCTGTGCAGCAACACCAGGGTGAGCAGATAGATGTGGGGTGTGTGGGAGTGGGAATCCTCCCAGCAGCTGGTGAATGGGAGCAGGGCTGGAGGGCTAGGGGCTGCAAGGCAGAGCTTCTGCCAGAGGGCCAAGGTCAGCCATCCACCTGGGTAGGGACGGCAGGCTCCTGGGTCCAGACATAGAGGCTCTGGGACTTGATATGGTGGGCTCTGGGGACCAGACTTGGGGTGTTGGCTCTGGAGTCAGTGGGTCCAAGCCAACTCCAGCTGTGCCTGGGGCATAGTCTGTGCCAGCTGACTGAAGCCCCAGAGCTTGGATGTTCAGGACCAAATGCTGGGAAGGCTGGAGCCAAGTCTGTGGGGTTATGCATCTGTATGACCTTCCATCCTGCTCAGCCAGAGGGATGCTGTTTGAGGCCACTGAGAGTCCGTGTTCACATGAGTGCCTTCTGTGACTGGCTCCTTATCTGTGTGGCTGTCCGTGTATATATGCATATATGTGGTGTATGTGTGTACTTGCACTTGTACCTACTGGGAATGCAAGCTGAGCCTGGCCACTGTTAGGGGCTGGGGGCATGGAGTGACAGCCTCACTTCTGAGCTAGCATATCTGGTCCAATTTTCCCATAGCAATATATATGTATATGCACATATATATTTACATGAATATGTACTTATGCATGTCATATTGATAGATACATTTCATAAAACTTTTGTGTAGCACAGTATGTCAACCCCGTGGAATTGAGATAAGAGAGATTAAAGCATGCAGGCAACAGCTTTCTCCCATAGCATTTGCATCACAAAATAAGTAAGTTGCTTGTTCATTTCAGAGATGTTACATTACTTGCATCCTACCATGCACATAAGATACTACATGCTACTTATGCACATCTGTACTGCAGCATGATTTCTAGTTGTAGTTGGTGTATTCCTGAAATTTCTTGAATCATATCAGCACAGGTAACAATTACAGCAGAAATCTGCAGGTTCTCCTGTTTTTGCTGAGAGTGTAATTTCAGATGCAGCTGTTCTAATATGGCATTGTGCTGCAGGTAAAAAAAAAACAAACAACAAGTTCCTAATTCCTGTTGCCTTTACTGATAAAATTCAGATAGAAGAGGCTTTATTTCTAACACCTGCTTCGGAAGCACTTAATATTAGTAATCTGGGTTAATTCATCTGGAGAGTTTATTCCTAAACAATTAGTACAGAATTTTGAGAAGCAATTTGCATAAAAGTGAAGTGTGCAAGCAGTATGTTTTTAAGCACAGTGAAAAAGTCAGTGACAACATTAAAGAAGTTGCCATGGGTAAAGGCTGAAGAATGGCTGTAAACTAGAGGGTGAAAGTATAAGGGACAAACACACCAGTGATAATGTCATGATTGGGTGAAATATGGATTCACACTTATTCCTGCTGGCCATGTTTTTACCCAGTGGGATGATACAAAATGGTACCACAATAACACAGCCCTTTCTAAAAAAAGGCCACAGAGCCAGACTCCTAACCATATTTAGCACTACTAAATCACAATTGGCACAAGCAAGCTTTGGTTGTCACCTACTGACATTTCATTCAGCCTAAAAATGAAAACGTGGTTGCCTGCACTGCCACTGTCTCACAGATAGGAACAAAGAAAGATAAGGCAAAGCAAGACACTTGTTGCAATTTAGGATCTTAGAGCTGTCACCACAAAAGGAAGAAGGTGTTGTCCCGCTGGGGAGAAGCACTAATACTTCAGCAACCAGAGAGAAGGAAGCAGGGGTGCTGGCTCAGCTCCTTTGTCCTCACCATCTAGGGATGACAAATCTACTGATGCTGTTTGCACCCACCACTGAGGTGCCAGTGAGAGTGGGGGACACAGTGATGGCTAGAACAGCAGAAACCGCGGGTTGATAGGAACGCCAGGAGTCGAGGCATAAAGGATGAGAGTGGGAGGAAACTGACACAGAGCTCTGGGAAACACTCTGTTGTTTTCTTCTTAATGCCTGGGGCAGAGGACATGCTCTGTCCTGTCTCTCTTGCATCCTCACCATTAAGTATATCTCCAGTAGTGACAGTGTTAACAAATACAGTGGAAGAAACAGCTCTGAAAGCTGAGCCGCTCAGTCACATGCACAGGTTTTATTTTTAACATCCCCAAACTACTTGATGTTTCTGCTTGTGCTTGCTCTGTCTCCTCCCGTCCTCTCCTCTTTCTTTGCTTCCAGTTAGCCCTTACCCACCTCACTTCAACCCTGCTGAGCAAAACCGAGAGAGCAAGTGTTTGGTACAAACACAGGGACTCTATGATTAAGGTAAGTCTTTGTAAATAGAATTTCAGTCTTTATTGGTGAAACCTTATGCAATGCAATGGTTACTGTATTAAGCTATGAAAACCAAGATATCTTCCGAAGAATCTTAATAATTAGGATGAAGTAGAAAAATCAGACACAAGATGTCTTAAATGGCACCCTAGAATGGAGGCAGCTGATAACTGAACACTTCTGTGACAGGCTACTCTGCAAAGAAAAGCGCTCCATAATATGTGCATGGTTTGCAGCACTGTATGTAGGATTTTAAAAAGCTAAAACACTGACTCTTAAGCGGGAACTTCAGTACCAGGACAGATGATGTATAACCAAGATGTTATAATTGCAATATAATCAAAAGAGTAAGGCAAAGCTGTATAACCAAGATGTTATAATTGCAATATAATCAAAAGAGTAAGGCAAACAAGGATCACAAAAGAGAATAAGTAGAAGAGCTTACCCTTGGGTTGAGCTCACTAGAAGATATCAAAGAGGAGGATCTCCAGAAGAGATCCTTCCCCTCTGGTAGCCAGCTCTTAAATAGGTCCAGGAGGGGTGGAGCCTGGCTCCACCCCTTCCGGTAGCACAGGTGAATTGCCTTCACCTGTGCTCCTCTGGCTGACTCATGGCTCACCTCAGGTGATCAATCAGAGGTTCAGGCCGTGACTCAGCAGTTCCCATACAGATGATAAATTAAAAATTCAATTTCTGCAATTTCTAAGAAACTCAAAAATGCTAAGTCTTCAAATCCGGTGGGTTTGTAGATTCAGACTGCAAACCATGTGCTTTTAGTCCAGAATAAATAATAAGATGATGAGTGAGAATTTACAAGTGTTAAAGGTACTACCCCGCTTTTTAGAGTTGTGGCTGCTTAGAAATTTTTATTCACAAATCTTCTCACTTTTCTTTTTATAAGACTTAGACCTTAAACAAGAGCACTGAAATTCATTGTAGTGCACATCTGGCTTTGGCTGAGTTTCTTTTGTTTTCCTTAAACCCATTCATGTGATTATCTCTTATCTCAAGAATTTTTCAGAAAAGTATATTAACGAAATTGTTGTCAGGGAATGAAACACAACCTGAGCCCAAACCAAAGCAGTTCGGATCATACTTCTTTCCCTACCCCCCTCAAACTGCAGCTAAACTGAAACCTGTTATTTTAAAGCAATCACTGAACTCAATAAGCCCCTTTGCCAGGTACAGATGCACTGATGCACAGTGACAGTTTACTTAACTGCGTTTCTCTCAAGGACAGCCCAGGGACTTTCACGTGTACTGCATAGCAGATGCCTGTCACATTTTGCTTCCCAGCTCCTGCTGTTGCTCCAGGTCTGTGTGACCATGTCAGTACAAAGAATTTTTATGTGGGTCTATCTCAGATGAGTTGCTGCTGGGTTGTTACAGGTAGGGAAGAGTGAGAAATCTGCTGACCTGGCACTCCTACAGGTGAGTGCTGTGTGTGGGGTTTCCATCAATGGTGCCTCGGTGCTCTGAGCCCTCCCATGTTCCTCTTGCACTGGTGCATTTGGCTGTGTGGAAATGGCACATGCAAGTGTCTGTGCCTCTCCACTGTGATTTACCAGGAGAGAAGAGGCCTGGTGATGCAACAGCTTCTCTTTAGGTCCTGCACATCAGATTCTGGAAGCTGAAGATAAACTGATAGACTGTTGTGGGAACCTGAGCAGCACACATAATTTGAATGAAAAGTGCACTGTGAAGTCTCTGCACAACTCATGCACTGCCTATGGGCATACCCTGTCCCTATCATTTTAAATATATTCTTATAAGTATAAAGCAATTCCAACCAATTCAGCAACTTTAATCCAGTGTTTATTGTCATGGGACATCGCATCC